TGTCTGGCATCCAAAATCGCTCTTGATAGTCCGTGAAGTTTTTGCCATCGTCTTCATGATTTCCAGCCACTACCATATAAGGCACCTCAAAAGCTGGCTATCTTACCTACGATAGGTTACTGTGAAGGGATACAGAAAGCAGTAGGAGTTAAGTCCTCGTGATGACAACAAGCACAAACTAGTGGTTTCAGGGAACGCGTTTTAGGGGACAATTCATGAAAATCGGGCTGGTTTTGGCCAGCCCGATTTCCACGAATTGTTACAGCTTACTCCCCACAGCAATCAGTGGAAAACAGGTCATCGCTGCTGCACCAGTCCTAGACCTCTGACGCTCCAGCATCCATAGCGAGCAAGAGTGTAGCTGTAGCAGACTGTAGCAAGAGTGTAGCCTAATTAAAGGCAGTTGGACACGATGATTTGGTGCTCGGCCTAAAATGCTAGTAGGGCGCTATATAGTGGGGAAATGGCGAAAGAACGGAGTGAAACGGTCAAAATCCTGCGAAGAAAGAGCCTGTGTTAGAAATCAATTTTGGACGAGTTTCCTGTAGGCATCTTGCCAATAACCGCTACCGAAGGTACGGCTGCATATGTGTACTCATATATCCATGCAGCATCACGGCCGCTTCATACCAATCCCTTCGCTTCATAATTTGCTTAGCAAATGAATGAATACGAGCGTCAGGAACGGTCGTCCATTTGTGGGCGGGCGGGCGTGGCGGGCGTTTGGGTCGGTATGTTGTGGCTTGATAGGGCCCTTATAAGGGCACCTCCCTTGGAAAAGGCATTATGCAGCGCCTGCTCAGGGTCGCGGAATTCCGTCCTGCCAGGCGTATTAATCCTACTCGTCTTGGGGATTTATCGTGCCAACTGCCTTCAAATCAGTTGCAGTCAGTAGTATGAGTGCCGCGCTCGTGGCGCCAAAATGTGGGTGTAAAACCTGCACTAAATAAATCGTTGTTACCTTGGATATCAGTGGCTCAAGCTGATTCATGTAGTCATCACCAGTTTGGCCGTTCTGCGCGTGTAAGTCGTAGGCAATATCACCTGCAAAGCAGGGCGAGGTTAGCTATGCAAGCGATAAGTGAAATAGCGGACTCCATAGGCCCTATCAACCGAATGTTATTGTTTCTCTTTTCTTTCTATTTCTCTCCTCCTCTTTCTTCTCATAGTCTTTTAATGCCTCCTTTAGAAGGCTTTCTGGAGTGCCCTCTCTGTCATAAAGGGTCGTGCAGCTATGCATGCGACAGAAGGCACAACTAAGGCAGCGTTCAGACTTCGCGACGGCAGCGCTTCGGTCGCGCGTTCGGCGCGATCGATGCGCATGCTTTCTACTGCATCGATCGCGTCGAACGCGCAATCCAAGCGCTGCCGTCGCTAAGTCTGAACGCTGCCTAACGTTGGGAGGAGTCAAGCCTAACATAGCAGTTCTCAGAATGAAAATCCGGTGAGTGCAAAATTGCAATATGAGGCTCATTCAGCCCAAGCAATCAGTCCTGATTGCGCCTTTAGTTAAACCGGGAGGTTGAATGCATTCTGCAGGAAATGTGCATGTTCCCGTTTTCGGATTCGTCAGCTCGGCAAAGAACTCGACAAGAATATGCTGTGTGATCTGTTTAATTCCGCCTCAGCATTCTCTAAACATTTTTTTAGGTAAAATCAATCGGAATAATCGGATGGTTACTAACTGCTCTTTACGATAGCAGTTTTGGCTAGGCATTAGCGGATAGCTTATGAAGGCAGATTCCACGCTACCGAAGTGACCTTTGGTAAGTGCAAAAGTGAGGGGCTCAAGGCTAGGGGAGGCTACATGCGCCAACAGACAGTTTATGAACAAGGCAGTTGCACAACCGAAATGAGGGGTACACCAATAATGAAAGCATGATGGCGGACGGTCTCCGCCCACACGCGCAACGTGGACTGTGCCCTAAGATTACATGTGGTTCATTCAGTGACTTTCTTTTTTGATGAAAAATGGTTATGAGGAACTGTAAACTCGCCGAGATGAATGATGAAATCGAATTTTCCAGCAAGACCATTCCGTATTAGGCTTTCAGTGGAGTTTCCGTGGAAATAGCCGAGATCACCAAATATACACGCCTGTAAACGTTTGCTAATCCAATCAGAAATCACAAAATTCTCAAACAGCGATCAATGTTGCCCTTCTTTCTTTCAGAACATCCTTTACCGGCTTTTCCCAACTATCAACGTTTTTCTCAGCTAATAATGTGACACATCCATCTATGCTACGATATGGCTTTGGAAGTAAGTTCTTAGTTCTGTACCTTGTAGGTCTGAGGATTTTCTGCCATCGTCTTGAACGAGAACTGTCGCCCGCTAATCTGATAATCTGAAACACATTGTTGATAAGGGTTCGCTAGAAAAAATGGCGAACAAACCTTGAGTTTTCAAAAAGACTCTGGTTAGAATAGTGTAGAAAGGACCCCTGCTAATGAATTACCAGTAGGGAAAATGGACGAATTTGATATGAAACTCCACTTCCCTCCGAATGTTTTAGATTCCTGTTTATTACTGAGATTTTCGGCACTTTCTTTT